TATTTTTTAAATTCGATAAAACCTATGGAAATACCTAAATGTAAAGAAATATATGAGGGACAGCAGTGGAATGTACTGTACTGCCGCCCAGTGTAGTGGTGTGGCTCACTGGTGTGTTAGTTTTCTGACAACAGTGGAGGTCGTTGGCACAGACAAATAAGCTAAACCAGGTTCTGGATTCAAACACACATTATGTGAAATTCATTGTTAGTCGGTCTCTCTATGGGATTTAAGCTCTAATATTATGTGTTTAAAGCAGAAAACTGAATAATCATGAAATGTTTAAGGAGACACCCTTGAGTCACCTGAAAATTCCCTTGGGGATGTTCCCGGAGAACGCCGGCAGCACAGGAATCATGCCAAATGATCTCATTCGCGCCAAGATTTTAAACTAGAAAACAGAGGGAATTGTTGTGTAAGGGGATTTATTCTGAAGAAGCTGAATTCATTACTGAACATTTTAAGTCACAAAAAGAGTGATTTTAAACATTAATTCTGCCAACTTGGGACTACTACTGCATCCCTCCTAATCAGAAATGAGAAATGATCAGACAGGCCAGTACTTGAGCAAATGTACCTAATTACATTCCACCACTGGCCGAGGGTTGCAGCATCACTCTGGTACAATGTTCATGTAAATAATAAGAGTAAGTGTCAAAACTGCAAACCAACTTGTAATAAACTGGACCAGTTAAAGCACAGGTTATTTTTATACTTCAATCTGAGGTGGTCTCATCAAATACTTTACTGAACTGTAACTCTTCAAACTGAGGCCACTCTGATAGTGTGATTCTGATGTTAGATGTTGCGGTTTATTGAAAAAAACTTTAATGATCCATTCTCAACCAGTGGATGCCAAAGAAATAAATGTTCTAATTCTGCATGCATTAGCCTTAATCAAAGTGTCAGTACCTGGAGGTAGAGCTGGTTCACATGCCAGGACTGTGGCAGAGGCCCACCAAATTTGAACATGTTTCCCATACGGTTCCATGCGAGAAATGCCGGGCCCGAGAAGAACTCTTCAATCTCCGACTGGTTTAACCCAAGAGCACGGTACACCTAGAAGGTACATAACAAGTTAATAAGTTACTGTTTTCATGCTGCTACACTTGTCAAGCTATGCGTCATGTATCTGTCACTTCAAAATGTCAAATCAAAGAAATTCACATGCAGTACCTTTAAAGGCATCAGTAATGCAGCAGACGTAGATACTAACAGCTGCTTTGAACTGTGTTCCTGTGGGTTCATGTCATCGGCGTCGCTAGACCACTTGTACTGGGGCACGTGCCCCAGTGTAAATCAGCTGTGCCCCAGTAAATACATTCCCATATTTGTAAGGGTTTTTGTTAGACCATTCTTCAGAGAAACTAAATGCAAGACAGTCAATAAACCAATTGACGTAAAAGAAGCGATAAAAACAAAAACGTGCTGCAATAACGCTGCAGCGGCTGCGCGTGGAAACTATGTTCCCGCGTGGCGTGCCTGTGTATACTAACCGCGCGCACGTTTCAAATGCCAATCAGCGTAC